CGAAGAATGGTCGGTGTTGGTGATGTTGAAGTCGAATATATTATTGAAGTTGATGTTGTTGAGATATTGAAAGCAGGCGATACTCTGTGAAGGATGACGTTGGCGAAATGAGATGGTTTTTCTAGTGGTGTTGTTTCTTGATGTTGAGTTGGTTGGTGGAGGTGGAGGAGCAGCAACCACCCCAAGATGATGTGTTGAAACATGCGACCTGTAAGTGAAAGTGATATCGAGGTTTACATTAATCCTATATATTTTGTCAAGGTTGTGACCTTGGTGGGTGGGACCCCAGAATATAGAGTGTAGACCTGTTCGAAGGATGGAATGATGGTCGAGTTGATTGAAGTCACCCCCAATGATGAGTTTTGAGTCGCTCTCCAGCGCAGTGTTAGAGAGTTCATCGATGGAACACATCATGGTGGAGACTTCATATGATGGATGATTTTGTGGATAATAGATGGCACAGATGATGTATGGTTCACTGTCAATAATGCACTTGAGACAAAGGGTTTCCAGTGTATCATTGACAGAATGGTGGAACGATGTGAATTTGAGATGAGATGGATGACTTCAAATAGATGACAACGCCACCTCCACGCCGCCTGCCAGGGTGAAGGGTGTGTAGCCATCTATTGCGATCAAACCATCAGGGTGATCTGGCCTAAGCCATGACTCGGTGATGATGATAATGTCGGGGTGTAGTGTAGATGATATACGTTACATCTTAAATGCTCAATAGCATGTGGCTTGACAATGCTAGTGACATTCATGATGTAAATGGTGGGTGGAAGATGACATGGGATGATTTTGGCGGGATTGTAAGTCGGGGTGAATTTGATGTTGATGAGATTGGAATGATTTAGTGAGGAGCGTCGATTGGGTAGGTTGCATTTCTTACGAGTTGATGAGACTACCACTGGTATTGCTGATGACGAATTAGTGCAAGGTAGATGGGCTGGGGGTGTTGATGTTGAAGTTGAGGTTGTTGTAGATTGCTGTAGATTGTTGTAAATTTCTGTAGCGATTGAGGTAGATTGTATTGATGGTTGTTGTAGATTTCTGTAGCGATTGAAGTAGGTGGCCCGGGGTTGTTGATGTTAATGTTGATGTTGCTGCTACTGTAGATGTAGAATGATGTTGCGAATGAAGAAAAGTGGAGAGGCGTTGGTGATGATCTGGGTTCCAAATTTTGTTGAGAAAGAGAGTTTTTCTTAGCGGTCTTTTGATGGCGAATTTATCCGGTAGAAAATCAAGCAGTTGTTGGCGAGTGTATTGGATCATTCGATTGGGGTGTGAGCGATAATTACTAGCCAAAAGTATTATAGCAACAAAAACTTTAGCGAATTTTTTGTTTAAACATTGACAAAAAACAAGAAATTATAAATTATTGATTTATTAAGTGAAAATAAGCAAAAACTTAGTTAATAACGGAAAATTTAGAGATTGAAAATCCAAAAACACGATGTCGGGTAAACCATAGACATCGCAAACAAAAGACATCTCTATTGTCCATCTCTCTTTGACCAGATTCGTTTTTTACTGAACAAGCATAGTACTGTATTAAAATATGCACCGGATTTCTATTTATTTACTCCCCGTACTAACTTTTTCTACAACTCTGTATTTCCCATTTCCATTCACCTTTGGAATTTATTACTCTTTTATGTAAAGAATGCTACTACTTTTGGTTGGTTTAAATCTCAAATCTATCATCTGTTGTCCTTTAACTTTTATATTAGCTTTCTTAAGGACTGATCTTAAGGAAGCTTTCAGATATCTTCTTAACTTATTGATATTTGTATTTTGTTAATTATTCTTACTTGGGCTCTTTAATTGTTTATTATTCCTTTAATGTACTGTATATGCATATGTATGAGCGTATTGTTTTGCAGGAAGTGTATGTTAGTATCTGTATTTGCATGTATGTATATTTGTTTGTGTACATTTGCATGTATGCATATATTTACTTGTGGACATGCATATGTAAGTTACTACTTATGTGTGCCCACTCTTGTCATTATTTTTGATCTTACTTTGCTTCATTATCATTAATTTTCAATTTTGTTTTAATTGGTATTATCATTTTCCTGTTACATTACTTTTGTCATTATCTTTGATCTTTGTTTCATTATCATTAAATTCTATTTTGTTTTATTTGGCTTTATCAATTTTTGGTTACATTCTATTTTTTCTAGGCATTTTTTTTTTGGTTACATTCTATTTTTTCTAGGCATTATTCTTTGTTGCTTAGATATTTTAATTTTTCCTAGTTATTATTTTTATCGTTTTGATTCTTACTTTTCATTTATTCGGACTGGCGCAAGCTTCAGGTCTCCTAGTGATTGGCATATGTTATTGTCATGTGTTGGTTTACTGAATAAAAAGCTAATTGAATTGAATTGAATTGAAAAGTGGACAACGACATGATTTTGGACCATTTAAACCAAAAAGCACTTCGGTTAAATTTATATATTTAAAAAAATTAGTAAAATACAATTTACTTTTGTTTAAATAATTTTTTTTTATTTTGTAAATAAAAGCTGATTTGATTTGTTGTTTTTTCCTTGATTTTAATTATAAAAAAAATTATTCCGACAGCCCCCCCGAAAAAAAATCCTGGTTTCGGCCTTGATGTATATATGTAAATTCATTATGTATGTAATATTAAATAAATAAATTTATATCAATAAACAGCAATATAATACAATATATATATATATATATATATATATATATATATATATATATATATATATATATATATATATATATAATATATCATCATCATCTGCAGTCTGCCAGCCCAGGGCGGCAATAGCTAGCCACAAAGAGCCTCCATTTTCTTCTATCTTTTGTCATTTTTCCGGATTTATATAAAAGAGAGAAAGAAAAGGAAGAATATTTATATATATATTATATATATTATATATATATATATATATACATATATGAATAAATCCACCATCTTCTATCTTCTATTTATGTATATATAAAGGAGGGAAAGAAGGGGTAAAATATATTTATATATATATATATATATATATATATGTATATGTATATAATACATATTAACGAATGCTGTCGTCATAGATTGAAAGATTGAAATAAACAAGTATCGGTTGCTGTTTGATTGTGGTATGTTTCGTCTTGATGCTTCGGTGAATGGTTTTTTTTAAATTATTATCGTTATTATTTTGAATTCTACGATGAATTGAAAAAAGGTTTGTTGGTTTGTTGTGCTTTTATCAAATTAAAATCTGATCGAAGCTAGACTTAAAAAATAAACTAAATTAAAAAAAAGGAATAAAATCAAATTTTGCCACAGGTTTTGTAATTTTACTTTTAACTTTTGTCTTTTATTTTTAATTTTTTATGTACTGTGTATGTAATTTATTATAAAATTATAAAAATAGATAAAGGTATAAATTTATCAAATAAAATTATATTTTACTGTTTGGTAATAAATAGTTATAAATAAAAAATAAATAAAAGCAGTCTTTCTATCATAAAAATTAAAAATTATTTAATTAAGAAGATTTATTTTAATTTTTAATAGGTATGACTGTATTAGATGATTATGTAATAATTAGTAGTAATAATAAATATTAAATATAGATAATATGCTAATTATGTATGTATTATAATTATACAAAAAAAATGTGTAAACACAACCAGGGATATACATGGTTAGGGTTAGGTTAGTTTTTTAACCTAAACATTAAAGAAATAAATAGCAAATTAAATTAACTTTTCATAAATATTAAAATTAACAATAATGCCATCCATCCATCTCTCCAATGGGTCTCACTGGCTGTCAAAATGTCAAAATTAAATCATGCCCTGATCAACATGTGTGATGACAATAATGTCATAATCATCATGCATAATTAATTGCATTGAGTACAAAACTTAACATTTGCTTTTAATCCTTAATGGATCACAATATTCAATTCAATAGTCTGGTTATGCGTTATGGCAGAAGAAAAAATTTTAATTATGAAAAAAATCTATAATTTCTTTTAAAAACATGCAAATGAAATGTTTGAAATCATAGACTTTTTATTCTGGTTGCTAACACTCTGACGCCTTGATACATTTTTTAAATGACTAAAACAAAGTAAACGTAAACCATTTTTTTCAAATCAGATGCATCCTTTACTGGTTGATTTGTTCATTTATTTATTATTTTGAAAGTAAATAAGTTGAATGGATGTCACACTAAGATAAGCTTCTTCACTGAAACTTCTATATGACAACTTCGACGGTGTCAGAAATTCTTTGGTCTGCTAAATGATAATCCTTCTACCGACAGACTCAAGCTGCTGTAATTTATGTAGATGGTAGTCATTTGACCAAATAAACGTTCCATTGCTATGTTTGTAACTAGAATGTCTTCTTTGTTTAGGGCTTGTTGTTCTAAAAGCCNGAAGTAATTTCGTAGTCACGGCGTTGTTTGCTTAAGATGGTTTTTAATTCAGGCATTATAAAATTACAGTCTGACGCAATCTTTATACTGGCGCGCAGTTTCCGTGAGCAAACATAGCAATGGAACGTTTATGTGGTCAAATGACTACCGTCTACATAAATTACAGCAGCTTGAGTCTGTCGGTTGAAGGATTATCATTTAGCAGACCAAAGAATTTCGGGCACAGTCGAAGTTGTCATATAGAAGTATCAGTGAAGAAGCTTGTCAGGCTTTTTCTGTATAAGAAAAAATTAATAAAAAAAGTAGTTGAAAACTTTGATACGGGATATGATATGATACATAATGCGTGAACAACGTCTTGATCATAACTGCGAGCTACACCGTCAAACAAAAACAAGATCTGGTTTTGATGAAACTAAGAGAAGATAGAAGACACCACAGTGTATTGAAAAATCTGCTAAGCCTCTATCTCGTTTCTTAAATGTTTTTTTTGTTGAGATTTATTTAGAATTAATTGATCACAAATTTATTGTTTTTTTGTTGGATGTAGTGTTTAATTTTACGTTTTAGTTCATAAGTGGTCCTGGGCATGACATAAAACTGCATCCACGCTGCTGGAAATCGAATGATGTTTGTCATGTCAACTCAGACAAAAAAAAATATAAACTATTCTGGAATGGTCAAAAGACGGCCAAAAATGGTGATGGAATTTTTGTCAGAGAACCGCTAGCCCAAGAAGTACTGGATATTAAAAGGATTAATTCACGTCTCATGTGGATCAAACAATGCAAACAATGATTATTTTTTCTGCATACGCACCACAGACAGACGAATCAGAAAAGATGAAAAATGACTTCTGGGCTGCGTTCTCTGACACCATTTCAACAATACCAAAATCTGAAACAATCCTGATTGGAGGCGATCTCAATGGCCACGTTGGAGAGAAAACAGATGGTTTTGACAACGTACATGGCGGTTTTGGCTATGGAGAACGGAATGAAGATCCTTGAGTTTGCTGAAATTCATGGGTTTTGTATACTGAACACATATTTTAGAAAGAGGTTGGAACATCTCATAACATACAAAAGTGGACCATCAGGCACGCAAATTGATTTCTTCGCTGTCAAGCAACAACACCGAAGGCTATTCAAAAATGTCAAAGTAATACCTGGCGAATCATGTGTCGCCCAACATAGACTCCTTGTGGCAGACCTGGTTGTCGAACTGTCAAAACATAAGTCTAAACAAATGCCTCGGAGAATCAAAACGTGGAAGCTGAAAAGCAATATTCATCGAGAAAAATTTCAACAGATTGTCGCCACACAGTTAAACCACCAATCGCAAGCCAGTACAGATTGGAGTACATACAAAACCGTTTTGATAAACGCTGCAACTACAGTTTGTGGGAAAACTGGTACAAAACGCCAGCATGAACGGGACACGTGGTAGTGGAATGACAGTGTACAAAATGCAATAGTTGAAAAGAAAGCTGCATACAAGCAATGCCAAAAATCAAAGTCTGTTGATGACCATAAAATTTTCCGTGAGAAGAACAACTATGCAAGACGTCAAGTCGCATTGGCTCGGACAGATCAGTGCAGAGAGTGGCTCACTAAAAGCAAAGGTGAACAAATGAAATCTCTGTATCGTATAGCAAAACAAGCAAAGCGTACGAAAAAAGACATAGTTGGTGCCTCATGTATCAAAAATGAGATGGTTCTTGAACAAGAGGAGATCAAGCTACAGTGTAAAGAATACTTCAACCGTCTGTTAAACGAAACAAATCTTATCAATGTTAACTTTGACGCTCCACCCATCGAAGGTCCGATTCTAGACATCACTATAGAGGAGCCATGTTCAGGGAGAAATTCTAGGAATTTGTATCGGCACAGCTGGATCGTCTGGAGAAGGTAGACATAACCTGGAAATCTTTTCAGGACATCCTAGTGAACGGTGCAACAGCTGTATGTGAAAAATCTTGACCAAGACGTCAGCACAACCACGAAACTTGGTGTTGGAACGAGACGGTTCAAAATGCTTTTGCCAGTAAGAAAGCAGCTTTCAAACAATGGCAGAGGACGAAGACTGATGAAGATCGAAAGACATACCGATTAAAGAACACAGAAGCGAAATGTAAGGTTGCTATAGCTCGTGCAATTCATTGCATTTTATGGTTGAATGGAAGTAAAAGTTAACAAATTCGGTCACTCTACGGAATCGCAAATCAGACCAAAAAACTGAAAAGGAATATAGTTGGTGCCACTGCATAAAGAATAATAAAGGCACCATAATAACCTTGCAGAATGAAGTGAAGGATCACTGGAAGGATTACTTCGATCAGTTATTGAATGAAACAAACCCTATTGGGGTGGACTTTGATGCACTGCCGGTGGAAGGACCGATTCAGGGCATCACAGCTGAGGAGCTTACGGATGCGCTGAAGGTAATGAAGTGTAATAAAGCGGCAGGTCCGTCTGGATTTACAAATGATATCATCAAGGCATCTGGTGGGGCAGGCTTCTGAGTCCTCTTACACATCTGTCGGGAGATGTGGAGTAAATCGATACTACCAGTAGAATGGAAAAGTAGCATAACTGTGCCGATATATAAAGGAAAAATAGATTCACTGAAATGCTCCTCATATCGGGGTTTACGTCTTCTGGAACACCCCCTGAAAGTTATTGAAAAAGTCATTTAGAGAAGACTTTGTCATGCGTTTCAATTTGTGGTCACCAGTTCGGCTTTATGGCAGGGATATCCACTATTGGGGCTATCTATATCATTTGTCAACTACAGGAAAATACTTGGCAAAGCATAAGCGACTGTTTCATGTATTTGTAGACTTGGGAAAGGCTTTTGACAGAGTGCCTCGTGAGGCAATCAGGTGGAGTCTACGTAGACAGCTTGTTCCCGAATATCTGGTTCAGCTGGTTATGGCAACGTACACTAACACAAAAACTCTGGTCAGCACAACAGCCGGTAACACGAATGAATTTGACATTAACGTCGGCG